AACCTAGGCAAAAGCATTCAGGACATAGGCATAGGCAAGGACTTCATGACTAAAACACCAAAAGCATTGGCAACAAAAGCCAAAATAGACAAATGGGACCTAATCAAGCTCCACAGCTTCTGCACGGCAAAATAAACAGTGATTAAAGTGAATCAGCAACCAACAGAATGGGAAAAAATTTTTGCAGTTTACCCATCTGACAAAGGGCTGATATCCAGAATTTACAAAGAACTAAAACAGATTTACAAGAAAAAAACAAGCCCATTCAAAAGTGGGCAAAGGATATGAACAGACACTTTACAAAAGAAGACATACATAAGGCCAAGAAACATGAAAAAATGCTCATCATCACTGGTCATCAGAGAAATGCAAATCAAAACTACATTGAGATACTATGTTACACCAGTTAAAATGGTGATCATTAAAAAATCTGGACACAACAGATGCTGGAGAGAATGTGGAGAAATAGGAACACTTTTACACTGTTTATGGGAGTGTAAATTAGTTCAACCATTGTGTAAGACAGTGTGTCGTTTCCTTAAGGACCTAGAAATAGAAATTCCATTTGACCCAACAATCCCATTACTGGGTATATATCCAGTGGATTATAAATTTTTCTACTATAAGGACATATGCACATGAATGTTCATTGCAGCACTGTTTACAATAGCAAAGACCTGGAACCAACCCAAATGCCCATCGATGATAGACTGGACAGGGAAAATGTGGCACATATACACCATGGAATATTATGCAGCAATCAAAAACGATGAGTTCATGTCCTTTGTAGGGACATGGACGAACCTGGAGACCATCATTCTCAGCAAACTGACACAAGAACAGAAAATGAAATACCGCATGTTCTCACTCATAGGCAGGTGTCGAACAATGAAAACACATAAACACAGGGAGGGGAGCGCTACACACTGGGGTCTGTTGGGGGGAATAGGGGAGGGACAGCGGGGGGTGGGAAGTTGGAGAGAGATAGCATGGGAGAAATGCCACATATAGGTGAAGGGGAGGAAGGCAGGAAATCACATTGCCACATGTGCACCTATGCAAATATCTTGCATGTTCTTCACATGTACCCCCAAATCTAAAATGCAATAAAAAGAAAAGAAAATGCCAAATCTGTAAGCCAGTTTTCATTGTCAAGTTCTGGCACAAATTTTGTTTGATACCATAAACGACTTGATTTCATGTCACAAAGCATAAAATCTTCACAACATTTTGACTTGACTTAACCACATTACTTCTAAAAAGTGAATGACGTCACTAGAGTCAGCATCCATACTTTTAAGGAATTCCTGCAACTACCGATGATGCATTCCCTGGCCCTTGTGAAATGCACAGCCTTGGTAACAATTTGCATGATGTTATCCATTTTTAAAACCTGTGCATATGGATATTCTTAATGTATTATGCAATAATACTTGATCAAATGTGAGTTTTGTGTGGCAACTGCATCATCATCTATTAATTTTACAAGTCCCACTCTTTTACCTACTGTCACCAGGGCACCATCTATAGCTATATCAGATACATATATAACAGAAAAATAAAATTGCTTTAACATCTTTTTCACTGCTTTATATAAATCTCTTGATATAGTTGTGTCTTTTAATGGCACGGTGACATTTCTATTTCTTCAGTGACATTATATTCATCATCAATACCTCTAATAAAAATGGCAAGCTGTGCCACATCTGTAGTGTCAGTGCCTTCACCCATCACCAAACCTAAAATTTTAAATTAGCAGATTTATTCTCCAAACATCTTTCAATAGATTTCCCAATTTCTTCAGTTCTCCTGGCTATAGTCTGGTGAGGCAAACTGATTTTAGAAATATCAGTTTCTCAAGACAAATAATATCTACCACATCTTCTGTGCATTGCTTAATAAACTCACCATCAGGAAATGGTTTTGATTTTTTTGCTATTTTTTGCTATTAAATTTGCTAACACATAACTAGCCTTTATGATAGAGTTTGTTTGAGTTGTAACTTAAAAAAATTGTTGTTGTTGTTGAAAAGACAGACTTTTAGGGGAGCATCACACACTAAGGTCTGTGGTTGGGAGGACTAGGGGAGGGACAGTAGGGGTTAGAAAGTTGGGGAGGGATAAATGCCAGATATAGGTGATGGGGACTGGAGGCAGCAAACCACATTGCCATGTATGTACCTATGAAACAATGCTGCATGTTCTTCACATGTACCCCACAACCTAAAATGCAATTATATATATATATCTATATATCTATATAGATATATATATATAGAGAGAGAGAGAGAGGAAGAGAGGGAGAGAGAGAGGGGGAGAGAGAGAGGGAGGGAGAGAGAGAGAGAGGAAAGACAGGCTTTTTTCAGTTCTGCTATTTTGTGCTTGGAATACATTCCTTGAGATGTACCAAATTTGTCAGCATGTTTTTGCATATAATGCCTCTTCAAATTGTAGTCTTTGAAAATGGGCACAAATTCCATAGAAATAAAGGAGAGTGCTTTGCTATTTACCTTAAAAAGAATAGAATAGAAGTCATTTGTCCACTTTTCATTGAACAATCTTCATTCATCCATAATTTATTTTTAGGGTTCTGTTTTCTTTTTAAGACATTGTGGAAGCTATGCTGGAATTAAAAACATTATAATAGATAAGCAACTATATTTAATTTTATTATGAAAATTTGGGCCAGGCACGGTGGCTCATGCCTGTAATCCCAGCACTTTGGGAGTCTGAGGCAGGTGGATCACCTGAGGTCGGGAGTTTTAGACCAGCCTGACCAACATGAAGAAACCCCGTCTCTACTAAAAATACAAAGCATTAGCCAGGCATGGTGGTGCATGCCTGTAATCCCATCTACTTGGGAGGCTGAGGCAGGATAATTGCTTGAACCCAGGAGGGAGAGGTTGCAGTGAGCCGAAATTGTAACACTGCAGTCCAGCCTGGGCAACAAGTGTGAAACTCCATCTCAAAAAAAAAAAAAAAAAAGCAAAGCTTAATAATCAAATAAGAATACTTACATGTCTTCTAAATAATATTGAACACCTATCATTTACAACCATAGGTTGAAAGACTATTGATAATCACTGTGTTTTACTTGCCAAGCTGCCACAAACACACCTAATACCTGATGGTGTCAATTCAACTGTCTATGATTGGAAGATAACACACTGGAAGTTGCACATCACCACAAAACTGAATCCACACATTTGTACAAATGGCGAGTGTCTGGTGTACAGCAGCATTCTGCCTTGTCCAGAATGCACACTTCAATTCTTTGTCACAATTCACTTTACATAGCATTGCAATAGAGTCCTCTCACTTTATTTTGTTAATTTTAATGGTTTTTCATTTCTTCTGGCCAAACTGTTTGCAATTATAATGCAAATTATAGATAATACTCCATTATTTGTGGATGTGACATCCTCTGATTATCCCATTCCATTCCATTGTCATCTCCGAAGTTCACACTTGAGAATTGCACAAATTACAAAATTACAAAAGAAAAATTGAAAAAAAAATGACAAAATGTTTTCAGAAAGTTTCCAAATTTGTGTTGGGCTATATTCAAAGCCATCTTGGACTGCCTGCGGCCTGTAGGCCACAGTTGGACAAGCTTGAATTAAACCAATAGAACAATTTAAGAATAATCTGTACCTTTACTATGTTTAGTCTTTCATTCCATGAATATAATATGCCTCTCCATTTCTTTAGCTTTTATTTCTTTCCTCAACATATTGTAGTTTTCAGCATAGAGATCCTGGACATCTTTTGTTAGATTTACAACTGAAGTATTTCATTTTTGTTGGAGTAAATGTAAATAATATTGTTTTTCTTATATTTTCAGATATTAAGTGTTATGTAGAAATGTAAATAATTTTGGGGTTGATCTTGTATCCTACAACCTTGCAGAACTCACTTATTAGTTCAGAAATCTTTTTGTATATTCCTTGACATTTTACACATTGACAATTATGTCACCTGAAAATAATGACAATTCTATTATTTTCTTTCCAATCTGTATGCTTTTTATTTCTTTTTCTTGCTTATTGTATTAAGACATCCAGTATGCTCTTCAGGAAGAATGCTGAGAGTGGGCATTTTTAAAAATTGTTCTTTTTTTTTTTTCATTCTCAAAGAGAAACTCTCAGCAAGAATAATTGTTCCTGATCTTGGAGAAAAGCCATTCAATCCTTCATCATTAAATGTGATTTAGCTGAATGTTTTTTTTGTAGATTGTCATTATTAAGTGAAGAAGCTGTCTCTCTCTTCTTAGTTTATTAAGATTTTATCATGAGTGCTGGAAGTATACATTTTAAAACAAAACATAGTTGTGGAAGATAAAAGAAATTTCCAAGCATGCCGGCTTGATAGGCCAGCCCCAAGTTGGGAAAAAGAATTATCTCTTTCTTTTTCCTTCTATGTATTAAAATAAAAAATTAAGAGAAAAGAATTTTCATGGAATTGCATTATTCCTTGAAAACAGGTTCCTAAAGTATTACCTACTTTTGAAAAAAAAAATCACCACATCATGGCATCCGCTTTTCAAGTGGCCCATGTATTAAAGATGGTGTATTAAAGACAGAGCTAGTCTGAGGCAACATACAGTCTGCCAAGGCCACCTGCCTATCTATCATCAATCCTTTTCTACTCTGCACACTCCTGGGGAAGTGCTTGGTCTTGTTCCTGTCTACTGCATTGGAAGAACAGTTCCCGACCATTTGCACTTGAAAGTGGAGCATTTGCACTTGAAAGGAGACTGAGATATAGAGGCTGGAGATCACACCAGATGGCTGGGTCTCCCCACTTCCACCCTGGCCCCACATACGCTCAGAAGAGGTTAGGCATTTAGGATCTCTATTGAGCATCTTGAATATGGCCTGCCATATCATATACAGTTACTAAATATTGGTTAAATAAGTCATGTCTGTTCAATATATTTTGTACACCCATAAAAAGCTCCACAACTAATGTGACACAAAATGTTTCTGCTTTGAACTCTAGCCTTTTGGCCCAGTAGGACTCATGAAAAGTGCCATCTCTTTAGCTCAGGATGATGAATGGAAGAGAATACGATCATTGCTTTCTCCAACCTTCACCAGTGGAAAACTCAAGGAGGTATGAAAATAACATGAGTTTTCATTAGAAATGTAAAAAATGAATCTGGGGACAGGTAGAAAGTAAGATCACGGTTCCTTTCCCAGGGGTAGTCCACTGAGTTTGAGCTTCCTAAAAATGGTCTTTTATCTTTATGTACAGAAAATACATCACAAAATTTGTTATAAAAATGTAACTTGCTGCTCCATGCTGGGGAAAACCATGTCCTTCTGGTACTTGAGTCCGCATATTTAACTAGAGGTAGTAATCTGTTTTGTGCTTAGATGTTCCCTATCATTGCTCAGTATGGAGATGTGTTGGTGAGAAACCTGAGGCGGGAAGCAGGGAAAGGCAAGCCTGTCACCATGAAAGAGTAAGTATGAGCACAGCCATGGGGTTCTGAGCTATCATGGGCCCTCCAGCTGCCTGCCATGGAACTGATATTCCCACTGTTGCTTTACTCCAGTGATGAGACAAAAGCAGGGCAGTGTCACAACTCCAAAGAGCCACCTAAGAGGGAGTGGCTCCCATAACGAGGCAAGTCAGCAGGAAAAAAGGCCTTCTCTCTGATGCACAGGAGCCAGGATTTACCTACCTGTTAACTTGGCACCATAAATATTCTGGGAGATTAAATATATACTTTAGAAATTTTAAAAACATGATTGTATCAATGTTTTGAGTGTAGTGGATATGGAAATTTAAGTAAGAAAGCATTTGGTACTTGTTGACTTGCATTGGGTAGGCTGAGAAAATTACAGTGGGGAACTTGGAACAATTTTAATCCCTTCATGGTTTTTCTGAGGATATCAGCAAACTATGAAATATTAAACCTTCACACCTCTTCCTTTTTCTCCAATATCAAAAGAGAAAGGCTGCCAGAAACCCATGTGTAGGGCAACCCTATCATTATTAGCTGTCTACGCTGGTATATGCCTCAATTGTTCAACAACAGGTGTAATTTGCGCCTGTCCTTGGGACCATCACTCAGCTATAGGACTCCCCAAATCAATGTTGCAGAGATCTATTTTTTTAACCAGAATATTCTTGGTTGTTACATTTTACAAAAATGATTCTGTTCTCAGAGCAACCTCAGGTCAGAGGAGCTGGGGATAGCAGGGTTTTCCAGAGCTATAGCAGCGAGTATAGAGAATAAAGGATGATATTTCTGGGAACTCAGAACGGGGTGCTGCTCTTTTGTAAAGTGCTGAAGAGGAATCAGTTCTGGGCATAGAGTCTGTAGTCAGACAAGGTCACCTTTCTTGAATCCACTAGGAAGAGTTAATTATTCTACTCATGTCCTGCTGAAGCACAGTGCTTACACATCTTGTATCATCCACACTCAACACATGCTAATGCAGTTGTCTGATAATGGGTCTCTGTCTTCCTATGACTAGACTCCTTGACCTCAGAGGTGAGTCTTAACTCAGCTCAGTGTCTCCATCACCCCCAGTGCAGGGCCACCTGCATCACTGGCACCTGATAACCACCTTCTAAAGGAGCATAATGCGAGATTATCCAGCAGATAGTTCTGAAAGTCTGTGGCTCTTTACCTGTCTTAACTGGACATGTGAGTTTCCTGTTGCATGTATGCTGGAAGAATGGTAAAGAGGCGCTGATTTTAATTTTCCATGTCTTTCTCTACTCAGCATCTTTGGGGCCTACAGCATGGATGTGATCACTGGCACATCATTTGGAGTGAACATCGACTCTCTCAACAATCCAAAAGACCCCTTTGTGGAAAGTGTGAAGAAGTTCCTAAAATTTGATTTCCTCGATCCATTATTTCTCTCAACAAGTACGTAGACTATTATTTCTTTCTCTCTCTTTTTAAAAATAACTGCTTTCTTGACATATAATTCACATATCATATAATTCATCCATTTAAAATGTACAATTCCATTGTTTATAAGATGATCAAAAATATATGTGACCATCACTATTGTAAACTAAAACGTTTTTGTCAATCTAGAGTTCTCATACATTTTTCGTTATCAACACCCTGCCTTAAACTCCATTGCCTTAAGCAACCATTTGGCTATTCTGGATACTTCATAGAAATAATATCACTGATTTTTCTCTGTTGTTTTTTATTCTCTATTTCATGAGTTTATACTTTAGTCCGTGTTATTTTATTTCTTCTGCTGGCTTTAGGTTTAGTTTGCTCTTCTTCTTTTAGTGTTTTGTGATGTAAATGGTAATTATCAATTTGAGATATTTTATTCTTTTATGTTTGGCATTACAGCCATCAATTTCCCTCTGAGCACTGCTTTGGCTACATCCCATGTTCTGGCATATCATGTTTTCTTTTTGTTCATCTCAAAACAATTTCTTCTTGCCCTTTAGATTTCTGCTTTGACTCACTGGTCACTTAAAACCGTATTGTTTAAGCGCCACAAATGTATAAGTTTCTCAATTTCCTTCCCTTATTGATTTCTGGTTTCATTCCATGGAATTTGATGTATATATGCTGTGTTATTTCTATCTTGACTGTTATTTCCTGAATAGCATTATTAATTTAAAAAGCAGATTATGGTCTGATTAATCCATAAACTTTAGTACAATAAATAAAGGCTAAGAGGGCAGGGAATTTAATTCTGTTCCTTTGGTCACTCCAAAGCTACAGAAGGCGCTACTGATCTGACTGCTGTAGTGGTGGTTTCTATGGATAGACCTGCCCTTGCTTAGTCACTGGCCTGAAAGAGGGGCAAACCTGATCAAAGGAATGGGTTCCAGCTGAGAACCTGATGTTCTTATTCTTATTACTGGTAGAGAAAATTATAATTGCTCCAGGTAAATTTTGAATTTTCAATATAATTTCCTTTTGTTTTTCCCACAGTATTCTTTCCGTTCCTTACCCCAGTTTTTGAAGCATTAAATTTCTCTCTGTTTCCAAAAGATGCTATAAATTTTTTAAAGCAATCTGTAAACAGAATGAAAAAAAGTCGCCTCAACGATAAACAAAAGGTAAAATCTGGTGATGATTAAATGACAATGTTTAGTTTTCAATAAATTTAGATTTTATACATACGGTAGTGCATGCATCTGTATTTTAAAAAATAAAGACAGCGAGCTTATGTTTAGAACAAGAGAAGTCATTTGGCAGAAATAAAGAAGGAGATTGGGGAAGAAGATAAGAATAAGTCAGAGAGACAGCATTTAAAATTTGATATCAGGCACAACAATTAGTATGTCATGACATAAACAGTATTAAGATACAGCTTTACCACTTCTCTTCCCTTCAATAAATTGTCAAAAGATAAAGATTCCTGTTTGGAAATATATTTTACTGGTAGTATGCTTTCCTCACAATATAGATTGGTAAAGAATCATCTGAAGTCCAAGCCTGTTATTTTACTTATTCTGCAATGAAAGGCCCTTTCAGGCTACCTACCAACTGCTGACATGTAGTGTGTCATGTAAATTTGAGTGCTTCATAGCCTGGAATGAACAGCGGTCTTTTCTGAGAATTGAGATTGCAAGGCTGGCTCACTCAGATTTGCCTTCATGAGCCCTAGAGGCCTGCTGAAGGATATCGGAAGGTCAGGGAGGTAGGACCAGGTAACTCAGGTGTCAATGAAGATTGTATAGAATGAAGACTGTATAGAATGTTGGAGTATTTGAAAACATTCCCCAAAAAAGCTGCTGATAAGTTCTGGGAATGTCAGGAGTTAATCTATGTGACATTGCTGAAGAAGAAGGCAGAAGAATAAAAGATCCAGACTTCATCCTGGGTAAGTAGTTATGACCACAGATGGAACTGGCAACTCTTTGGCCAGGAAGCTGTGTCCAAAAGACAGAGAAGAGGAGCAACAGGGAGGGCAAGAAGGGCAAGAACCAAAAAGCAATTGGACATGATGGCTAGATTGGTTTGAGGAAAACATCCTTCTTTCCAAGGATTTGGATGAATGTTTTTATTCAGTGCTGACTCGGGCAACACCATCAGACTTCTGGTCTTCAAGAAATCATAGGGAGGTTAAAGGAGAGAAGTCAAGAAGGGAGGTTGAATACCACACTTTGGATTTACTTCCGGCTGCATGAGTCACTTTCTGTCAATGAAATTTGTCTTTTGGCTTCTAGCACCGAGTAGATTTCCTTCAGCTGATGATTGACTCCCAGAATTCAAACGAAACTGCATCCCACAAAGGTAACCAAGGAGTGCTTCTGGGGGCTACTGGTGGGGACACTAAGAGGGAGGTCCTTGCTCTGAAAATGTGCAGGAAGTATTCCAGGAAGATGAGAATTTCTGCCACATAGCAGAACAACACGCCTTTAAATGTTGTAAATGGTAACTGGAGGCACGTTCCAGAAGCCCACAGGTACAGCCATGTTCCAGGCTTGAAATAACCCTAAGCAAACCTAGAATGCTTGGTGGACAGTCAGTGGTTTGTGGATCACCTACATGAGATCAAATGCCGGTTCTCAGCCTCCTCCAGATCCACTGAGTGAGAACCTCTACTTGGAAATTTATATCAAACATCCCAATCAGGAGGCACACTGTTGCAGTAAGGTGATTTCAACTGGCAGTACTTGATGAAAGTGTGCTTGCCATCTTACTCTACTGCAAAGTTTTATTTTTCGCTTTGAAATGGATAAGTAATTACTGGGGGAAACCTCTGAGACCATGTAAATATCTTGTCTTCAATCTTTTACCTACCAGTTTTACAACCATGGATGGTTTTGACTGAAATCATTATTACTAAGACAGCGGCAAAATGATAACTACAGTCAATTTCAAGCTACCAAGATTTGGCAATCATCTCGCAAAATTCCTGAATATGTAACAACTGGTTGTAGAAAGGAGGACTGGGTTGACTCCAGTTTATCACTTTAAACATGTCCACGTCTACATCTACTTCTATCTGTCTGTCTATCTAACTATCTATAATCTATCAATTAATCTACCTATCATCTATCTATAATCTATTAATTAATCTTCTACCTATCTCAATAAACCTTGCTGTGATAAAGGAAAATAGGCTATCATTTCACTGTTCCACATGGAAATCACTAGACACAAATTTCAACTCAGTATAATGGAGTTCAATGTAACTGAATAAAATAATTGGATGGTTGAATTTACCCACAGCAGCATACAGAAACCCTCACTGGTAAATCACAACTCTGTAGAACTTTCTCACTCTCATTTTATATTGTGCTTGGTTGTGAATTACATGGTTGCAGCAGGCACCACATTTATTTCTGTGTTCGTCTCTAAAAATCCTAATCAAGTCCTCATCAAACAGACTAGTGATGGACCATTTTGAGCTTCTCTCAGGAGAAATATCAACAGGGAGGCCAATCTGTAATCATAAGAACTTCTGCTATTTTAATATTTTAATGCCATTCATCAGCCTACAGTCAATCACCATGCTTCTGGCTTTTTGTCTCTCTCTGCAGTTGTGTACATCCTGAGATACTGAGATTTTGAGAACTGTACCCTAGATCTTGTATTGCCTGATGCCTCTCAAACATGTAATCCATGCTGCTCAAGTGAGGTTGTGCACACATATCACCACATCTCCTGAAAGTTTGGATTTTGATTCAGTAGTTCAACAGTGGGGTTTGAGATTCTGCATCTCTAGTAAGCTCCCAGATGCAGCTGGTGCTGCTGGTCCATGAAATATACTTTGAGTAGCAAGAGGTGATCTGAAACTCAGTATTTGTCCTTCAAGTTCCTTCAAACATACATAGAGAAAAGGTCCTAAGTATTGCAAATTCTCTCAAAGTTTGCCAACCTATATTGCAGAAAACAGATTTTTCTTGAGGAAAATGTTACCCCATATTTACTTACAGATAAAGTACTTTTAGGAGCATTCAAGGCACACTCCCACAATGCTGAGTATGTTAGACAGAAATGCTCTCTCTGGAAATTACAGAGCAGTGCTGGTGCTGGGATGCCATAAGGAGGAGATGGCCCACAGTCATGTAAACCATGGGAAAACATGGATTAAAATGATTTTGCCTCATTCTGGCTCTGTAAGATACACATCATAATGAAAACCACCCCCAATGTGACTCTGAATTGCTTTTCCATTTTTTCCTCTTGGGATTGGAGAGCTTCACTTAGATATCATCTAAGCTGTGATGTTGTACATCGACCTGATTTATCTAAAATGTCTTTCCTCTCCTTTCAGCTCTGTCTGATCTGGAGCTCCTGGCCCAATCAATTATCTTCATTTTTGCTGGCTATGAAACCACCAGCAGTGTTCTTTCCTTCACTATATATGAACTGGCCACTAACCCTGATGTCCAGCAGAAACTGCAGGAGGAAATCGATGTAGTTTTGCCCAATAAGGTGAGTGGATGACCCTGAAGATGAAGGGAAGAGGTGAAGCCTTAGCAAGAATGCCTCCTCACCACTTCCCAAGAGAATTTTCGTAAGCACAATCATGATTCTTTCACTGATATTAAGTAGGAAGGCTATGAGTAGAAAAACAAAGGGAGAAACATAGGTAATGGTTACGATTGGCAGAGTTATAAGATCTTTGTAAAGCAGTACTGGCCCTGGTTCATCAGCTTTCTGTTACCACACTAATGCTAAGTTAAAAACATCCAGGCTGGGCGCAGCGGCTCACACCTGTAATCCCAGCACTTTGGAGGCTGAGGCGGGCGGATCATGAGGTTAAGAGATCGAGACCATCCTGGCCAACATGGTGAAACCCCGTCTCTACTAAAAATACAAAAAAAAAAAAAATTAGCTGAGCATGGTGGCGCGGGCCTGTAGTCCCAGCTACTTGGGAGGCTGAGGCAGGAAAATTGCTTGAACCCAGGAGGAGGAGGTTGCAGTGAGCTGAGGTTGCACCATTGCACTCCAGCCTGGCTCCTGTGAGGGAGTGAGACTCTGTCTCAAAACAAAAAAAAAAAAATCCAAAAACCTCAGTGGCATCCAACAATAAGCATTTGTTGTTCACACGTCTGGATAGTGAGCTCTGCTGACATTGGAAGGACTTGCTCTGGTCTGGCTGTGGTCTGACAGAGCTTGGTCCTGAGTGTGCTGCACAGGCTGACTGAGCTCTGCCCCATACCTGTCTCATGTTCCAGCCAGGTAGCTACTGGTGAAGAAGCCAAGCTAAGAGAACCAGAGTATCTGACTCCTGAGTTTGTTGGAGTTCAGGGGAGCCCTTAGCTTCCCTGAGAGGACATTTCTCCAGGTTCACGGTCTATCGCTCTCTCAAAAATGACAGAGGAGACTACAGCACAGTGTGCTCGTAAAGTAAAATACTGGACTTAAAAATTGGTTGCAGAAAGTGATTTATTTAGATAGAGAAAGAGAAAAAGGGGAAGGAGAGAGGAAGAAACAGCTAGCTCTCATACTTAGTGAGAGAAAGAAAAGCCGCTCTCACACTGAGTGAGAAGCATTTCCAGAGGGAGAAAACCAGAGAAGGAAAACACCCCTTACGCTGAGTGAGAGAATCCAGAAAGATGGAATCCAGGACAGGAAACACAGCTTCCACACTGGATGGAAGGGACCCCAGAGGGGAAATCCACGAGGGGAAAGAGAGCTCCCACTATGTGGGATGAAATTTCAGAGAGCAGGAAATCCGGTGTGGTTAAAGGAGCCTGGGAATTCATCCTGGAGAAATTCCCACCTCCTCAAGTTCCTCTGGCCAATGAAAGTGCCTTCAAACTTCTGTGGGTAATTGACCCCTAGTTTCTTCCCGTGCCCATGAAATTTAAACATAAACCATTAAATCTCCTGGATGGAGAAAGATGAGAGGGGAGCATGGCACTGGGAAGTTCTTGCAGCCACCACCCCGAGCCTATCCTCAAGTTTTTAATGGAGTTTTTACATAATATAGTGTTTATATCGTGTGTGTGTGTGTGTGTGTGTATATATATATATTTAAAATAGTTGCCAAGTGGGACTTTGCAACCAATAATCCTGTGTAGAAGAAGAGATTTGCTCTTTTCCCTGTTTTTCGTTCTTGGTACAGACGTGTGACCTCTTTTTGAAAGATGATAGTGTCTTTGGTGTATTTTATTTGATGGTAATGGTCACAGCCTATTAATCACATTTTCTCCCATGAGAAAGAAAAACCACTACATGGTCATGCTAAGGATTTCAGTCCCTGGGGTGAGGTTGGTCCTGAGTATCTCCTACGTGCATAACTCTTCCACACATCTCGGTAGGTCACTGAGTGCATCAATGGGCAAGACAGTTATTAAAATACTTTACAAATGCTATGATCATTTACCAGTAGGAGTTATTCTCTAGAGCTTGTAACACTTCAGTAATACTGCATGGACTGAGTTGAAAGTTAATTCAAAATCTCAGTTCATCCAAATCTGTTTCATTCTTCCCAGGCACCTGCCACCTATGATGCCGTGGTACAGATGGAGTACCTTGACATGGTGGTGAATGAAACGCTCAGATTATACCCAATTGCTGTTAGACTTGAGAGGGTCTGCAAGAAAGATGTTGAAATCAATGGGGTGTTCATTCCCAAAGGGGCGTTGGTGGTGATTCCAACCTATGCTCTTCATCATGACCCAAAGTACTGGACAGAGCCTAAGGAGTTCCGCCCTGAAAGGTACGAGGCTCCAGGGAAAATGGAGCTCACCCTGAACCAGGCTGGTTCAAGCATATTCTGCTTCTCTTAATCTACATGACAATTATGTGGTTGTACAATCATTTGCTTGTAAGGCTTTTTACAAGTCTTTATCACAAAAAAGCGATAAAGGTCAAACTTTACAAGTCACAGACAAGAAAACATGAAACTACAGCCATCCACAGTCCAAACACATTAAAATGAAGATCGTCAATTAAGTCCTTGTGGGCATTTTTCTATGTCTATATAGATTTTTAAAAACTAGAATGGTATCACTTTTTGATTTGAATTGCTGCTTACTTTATTTAACAGGAAACTATCCACTGACCTACATTACTATAAATATAAATACAAATATATATAAATATATATATGTTGCATATGCCATAAGCCATTTAACCATGATGTTAGTTCAGGTGTATAGGCGTTTAGTTCCTTGCAGTTTTTTCCATGCTGTGCCCTTTAGCTCTCTGAATTTAACAGCAACTTTGAAAGACTCTTCCATGTTCCATTTTCTTTCAACATTGCTTGCTGTTTCCTCTATGGTAATTATAAAAGTGCAGGCTGAGGTCCTGAGAAGTCCTCGTTCCTAATGGTTTAACACTTCACTGAGGACACAAGACAGCACAGGTCCTCCTGGTTCTGTCTGTGGCAGTCCTGTTCCAGCCCCCCTACACTCTCAGTAGACATCTCATACAATCCTCCTTGGAGGTGTCTTGAGCATACTCTTCTGGGAATTCAGGGACAAGGTCAGGCTTTGGGCACAGTTGGCACTCTAGATATACTTGGTGCTTTCCCATTATTGTATTAAGCAAAATTTAGAATGAAATGTTTAGGGTACTGGCTGGTGATTCAGGATGCTTGGGAGCTAGACTTTCATTGGCCCCTACCTACAATTTGCTGATGGCAGGGACCTTGTCTTGTTGGCCATGGTGTCCCCAGTGCTAGCACAGAGTCTGTACATAATTCTTGTTCACAGAGTAAGTCAGAGCTGACCAAGTTCTCTGTTTTCTGGGGTAGAGGACTTCTATATTTCCTACAAGCTCAGTACTTCCACCTGCTGTGGCTACACTAATACAAAATCAGAGACCACTCGCTGTATTTCACTTTGAATCATTCAGTCACCAAACAGACAGTGCTTGCCATGTGTCAGGAACTTGGCCAGGCAGGGAGAAATCCGTATGAATTATATAAATCCAAATCATATGATTTATATGAATCTAAATCATATATAAATGTATATCAATCTAAATCATATAAATGTATGTAAATCTAAATCATATATATCATCTAAATTATATACATCATCTAAATCAAACTTGCTCTAATCAGACATCTTCAGAACTTCTCCTTCAAACCTTGTAAAGAAACACAGGTTAGTACACCTTATGTATGTTTTGTGTTCTCAATGAAGTGGCTTAAACCGTTAGGAATAAGGACTTCTCAGGACCTCAGGAACTCATATATAATCACATGATCTAGAATTATTATATACAGTACACTTTCTGTATGTTTGTGTCCTCAATGAATTGGCCTAAACTATTAGGGATGAGGACTTCTCAGGACCTCAGGACCTCATATAATCATATTATTTAGATTTATATAAATTTATATAAATCCATTTATATAAATCTAAATCATATGATTAATATAAATCCATGTATATAAATCTAAATCATATATATCTAAATTATATATAAATCTAAATCATGATTATCTAAATATAACTCTAAATCACATATGAATCTAAATCATATATATAAATCATGATTATCTAAATCTAAATCAGGTATATGTATCTAAATCATATGATTTAGATTTAATCATATATAAATATATATATGATTTAGATTTAGTCATATGGTTTATATTTATATAAATGGATTTATATAAATTATGATTTATATAAACCATATGATATATGTGTGTATATATATATATGTATATATTACAATGTTTGACATATACACAAGTGTACTCTATAGACACAAGTCTACAGAATAGTTTTCATTATCTCCCTGTATCTATCACTGGTCCCAACAGCCATCAAACCATGTTAGCTGCCCCATCCAAATGCCACCACCACTCTCCTCCTGACTATCATGTTATTTTGAAGCAAAGCCTGTAAATATTCAGAATGTTCTCCAAAATATAAAGACCCCTGTAAAAATATATGACAAAAATGTCATTATTACTTTCCTCAAATCAACATTTTTCCTTACTATAATCAAATATTTAGAAATCAAATTTGAATAAAACATGGGTCAATCTTCAAAGAATTTATAGCATAGTGGAACAGACAAAGGAACGCAGTGATAACCCTACAGTAGGGTAGCATCATATGCCCATGCAAATTAGTCGACTTAAACTATTCTATGAGGATTTGGGGGAGAAATAGATGGAGAGAAGAACAAGGAAGAGAACGAGGAGGAGAAGCAGGCAAAGAAGAAGGCAGATAGGGCAAGGTGGGAAGGAGGAGGAGGAGGGGAATTAGAAAAATGGATGACAGGAGAAGGAAAGGGAAAAATAAACTTGAAAACAGCACAAGACATCTTCTTCTCCTTTCTCAATGAGCATGTGACCAACATAAGTGTCAGTTGAGGCAGGAACCCACTTTTCCATCCATCAGTCTCATCACTTATGTGCCTTTTATAGGGTGAACACACTGCCACCCTGAATATAATTTTAGTGTTTAGAGATAAATATTATTTGCAACAATATTCACCTCATCTCAAGGAACCTCAATGCTCCTATAGGGTATGGGGAATGGAAAGGACCTGTAGGTTACAATTATTAAACAAAATAACCAAAGCAGGATTTCAATGACCAGCCCACAAAAGTTTCCTGTATCCTACTGGTTGGGAAGTGGAGGGGGGCGGTTCTTAAGAACTCCTAATATGTAACTGTGGTTTTTCTGTTTCGTTTACTTTTTAATAGGTTCAGTAAGAAGAACAAGGACAGCATAGATCCTTACATATACACACCCTTTGGAACTGGACCCAGAAACTGCATTGGCATGAGGTTTGCTCTCATGAACATGAAACTTGCTCTAATCAGAGTCCTTCAGAACTTCTCCTTCAAACCTTGTAAAGAAACACAGGTCAGTACACTGTATGTTTCATTAAGAACTTTTCTGACCAAAGGGTGTATATTTTTTTAAAAGAATGTGCATGTTTATCTTTTAATAATTTGTTCTATGGTCCAAATAATCTGTTTGGATCTATCTTTGATCATTAAGCGTGCTTCGGTTATGGACTTCAAAACCTGTAGCATTAAGAACATCATGTAGTCAATGCAGATTAGCATGACGTGATTATGTGCAGCCTCTTTGAACCTGAGTAAAGTTTAAATTCAGTTTCAAGTCAATTGGAAGGAAGAGGAAGTGTTCTGCACAATCATCAAGTGCAATGATCACCCTGCTGTGACTTTTCAATGGTGTTCTCCATCACCAGAACTTGCAGAAGCTCTCTCACGGCAGTGGTTCTCAACCACTAGCCATATATTAGAATCATCAGGGAGCTTCAAAAGTTCATGATGCCTGTGACATCTCAGAAATTCTTAACTAATTTACCCACAGCATGACTTTAAAAGCTTCCTGATTGGTTCTCATGTGAAGCCAAGATGGAGAATGACTAATTTGAGGCATTTCTAGTGAATATAAAGGACTACCATAGAGCAGAGCTATCCTTACTGTTTGACCTTACATTCCAGGTGACACATTTATAGAAAGACTTAGAATCTTTTCTCTGAAGAAGTTAAAGAGCAGATATCATTGATTCATATTAAGCAATTACCTATAAGTCTTATTTCCAGGACCTACGTATTTAATATGCAACTCCACCCCTTAAGTACACTTTGTGCTTGGGAAAGGAGGAGGAGGAAGATGGCTGCCATCTTCTCTATGGCTTCAGGGCAGCTGGGTAGCTTTCCTCTGTGTGTATTCAGGCAGGAGGCTCAGCCCTGAGAGAAAGTGGGCCCCTGGCACACCTGGGACAGGGTAGATACTCCCTGGCAAGCTCTCAGGCATCCTGAGGCTGGCACTTCTATGTACCCATGGCAATTAGCTTTCCCCTCACTGAAGTGAGATCAGAATGTTACTCTGTTGGTGGCTCCCCCAACAGTGAAGGAACAACTCAGTGACAACAGGGCTAGAAGTATGAGTCAAAACACTGTAGGACTTGAGAACTGCCCCATTTGCACTACCCTTGGAAGCCAAGAGGAGATGTTAAAAAGAAAAGAAAAAGAATAATTCTTCCTGAAGACCTCTTTCCATCATTGCACTTGATGGGTTCAATTGGAAGGGGTTACTAGACTCTGGAAGTTGAAAACTGCCCACATAATTAAACTGTACAATAGCTACTCAGGATTACCTTGCAAGTTTTAACCTACAAAAATTCAACTTTATATGGCTATTCAAAAATAGTTTGCCATAATACCTAATAATCTGGATTCAATTTTTAATACTCATCCTTTTTGCTTAAAATTTAAATCAAAAAAGAACACAAGTCCACAAGAATATTTCTCAGGCCTGCCACAGAATCGGTGCTCCATAAATACTTTGTTAAATGATGGATGGTGAGTGGTTTTACTATCCAATATTTACCCAGCTTACAGATGAAGTATGAAGAATCCAAGATACATGGTGTTGAAAATAGTTTTTATATGCTTGCAAAGCATTACTGTCATTCATGTATTTTTTCTACTTTGCTTCCATCTTTTCTGCTTTCACTTCATTTGTTAATTTTCCATATGCTTGTTTAACTATTGTAGATTCCCTTGAAATTAGGCGTGCAAGGACTTCTTCAAGCAGAAAAACCCATTATTCTAAAGGTTGAGTCAAGAGATGGAACCCTAAGTGGAGAATGAGTTATTCAAAGGACTTCCGCTTTGTGTTTCAAGAAAGCTGTGCCCCAGAACACTAGAGAACTCAATTTCCTTTGTCAATAAAACCCTGAAATAAAGACGGGCTTCATCTAGTGTCCCGCATGAACAATTGGTGATTTTTGCACATTCATTGAGCTCTCCCAGTGTCAGTGTAGAGTGCTGTGCATTATGTAATATAAAGGAGATGACCAGGTAAGTGACAGGTAGACTCAGCTTCTCTGCTTCTCACAGGACTATCTCTGCCCACCTCCAGTTAGCATTGTCAACTCCTCCTGAGCTCTCATCAGAGAATAAATATTTCTCAACAATTTGACCCACAATTTTTTTTAAAAATAAGAATTATTGAGATGACTCTAATAGTGACATTTATTTCATGTTTTATCTGTAATATTCCATAATGTTTTATACTAAGCAAAGCAATAAAAACCTCTCTCACAAAAGTAATATCTGATGCCTTCCTGCACACTAAAGAGACGTCTATAGAACTGAATGACTAAGAACCAGCAAATAAACATTTTTTTGTCATTGTAATCACTGTTGGTGTGGGGCCCTTGTCAGAACTCCAATTTGATTATTAACATCGGCGACAGTGCATCTACTGTGACTTTGGAGAGAATATTCATAGTTTCATTCTGCCTTCTTTGAAGCATATATTTTTTGTAACGTTCAACTGAAGCACTTATTAAATTATTAGTTTTGATTTATTGCTTTTACCTCATCTCCCTGACATTTGTGGAAGATAGGAAACATGTTTTCCTATACATCTTGCATTCCATCTTCCCCTCCCAATTATCTTAATGCAATGAACTCTGAATAAAAAATGGTCAGATGGTCAGTTGATTGGGCAGCATGTCTAAAAGCACTCATTCATTTTCCTTTTTTGCTCCTTCCTTTCCCCTCCCGTTCTGAATCCTAAAGCCATTAGGTGAGTCGCAGCCATGTGGTAGCCACACATTAAGGTGAAGGAGAGAGTCATGGTAGTTCCAAGTCAGATTCCAAGTGTGCTGGGGAAGGCGTCCACATGGAGGGGCAGCCAGACCTGGATGTAGAAGCCCAAGGAATCAGAGGACTCCACACAGAGGGGGACCTTAAAGAGTAACCAGAGCCTATCTGGGGCATGGAAAACCCACGTGAGGTGAGGAGGGTATCCACGAGTGGAAGGGGATGAGTGAGAGTTGGCTACACAAAGAAGATTGATCAAATAAGTACATAAAGTATACTGTAAGCCAGGTGTGTCACTTTTGCAGAAAAGAGTCAAGGATTCAGAAAGAGAGAAAACTAGTGTGACTCCTGTGGAGTTGGATTGGAATGGATGTATCAGTGTATATTCATACTTTTCTAGATAGGTAAATGGATAGACAGACAAGATGATAGATAATGGATAGCTGATAATTAGATAGATGTAAATGTATGTGTGTGTGTGTGTGGTATGTGTGTGTGTGTGTGTGTGTGTGTATAAAACATACATTCCCTACTTCTCTCCACTAAGAGGGCTAAGTAACAATGACATTTCAATAGCAATAGCACACTTAGTGCCAGATCCTGGCTTATGAATACCATTTTCCACTGAAGGAAAACCAGAGCTCCTTAGAGAAATGGCTGACTCCAGGGCTAGGACTAAGAATGTTCATACTTTTCTAGATAGGTAAATGGATACCTTTTTTCTAGGTAGGTAAATGGATACCTTTATGTAAATGAATACCTCCAGTACCTTGAACACTTTATGTGCCAGGAAGTAAGAAAATGCTCAAATGGTTTCTAAAAAAAATGATATGTGGAAATGATTTCTAAATGATATTTTCATATGACTTCCAAATGATATTTATAAAAAACCTAAAGACCACCAAAGAACATTAGAACTGATAAACAAATTCAGTAAAGTGTCAGGATACAAAATCAATGTACAAAATTAGTAGCATTTCTATATGCCAGCAAGGAACAATCTGAAATAAAATCAATAGCCAATCAATAGATAAATTTAAATAGCTAGAAATTACTTTAATTAAAGAAGTGAAAGATCTCTACAATTAAAACCATAAAATGTTAATGAAAGAAATTGAAGAGCACACAAAAACATAGAAAGATATTCCATGTTTATATACTGCAAGAATCAATATTGTTAAAAATGTCCATACTACTAAAGGAATATATGAATTCAATGTAATCACTATCCAAAAGCCAAAGACATTCTTCACAGAAATAATTTTTTTTTTCAAGTATCTTTGAACTTTTATTTTTGAGGTTACATTTTTTTTTTTTAATTTTTTATTGGATTATAGGTTTTGGGGTACATGAGCAGAGCATGCAAGACAGTTGCATAGGTACACACATGGCAGTGTGCTTTCTTTTCTTCTCCCCCAGAAATAATTTTTTAATCCTCAAATTTAGTCCCTGGGCAAGGTGGCCAAATAGGAACAGCTCCAGTGCATAGCTCCCAGAGAGATTACTGTAGAAGGTGGGTATTTCCACATTTCCAACTGAGGACTGGTAGGACAGTAGCACACTGGGACTGGTAGGGCAGTAGGTGCAGCCCGAGGAGGGTGAGCCAAAGCAGGGTGGGGCATTGCCTCACCCAGGAAATGCAAGGAGCTGGGGAACTCCCTCTTCTAGCCAAGGAAAGCCATTAGAGAATGTTCCCTGTACTCCAGCCCAGACACTGAACTTTTCCTATGGTCTTCACAACCCACAGACCAGAAGATTCCCTCCAGTACCTATACAACCACCAGGGCCTTGGGTTTCCAGTGTAAAACTGGGTGGCCATTTGGGCAGAAACCGACCTAGCCACAACAGCCTTTTTTTTCATACCCCAGTGGTGCCTAGAACACCAGCAAGACAGAAGCGTTCACTCCACTGGAAGGGGGCTGAAGCCATGAAGCCAAGTGATCTGGCTCAATGGGTCCCACCACCATGGAGACCAGCAAGCTAAGATCTACTGGCTTGAAATTCTTGCAGCCAGCACAGCAGTCTTAGCTCAACCTGAGACTTTGGAGCTTGGCAGGTTTCAACCTAAGAGTATAAACAAAGTTACTGGGAAGTCTGAACTGTGCTGAGCCCATGGCAGCTCAGCAAGGCCTCTGCAGACAGATTGTTTCACTAGACTCCCTCCTCACTGGACAAGGCATCTCTGAAAAAAGGCAGCAGCCTGTCAGGGGCTTATAAATAAAGCCCAAACCTTCCTAAGACAGAGCACCTGGGAAAACAAGCAGTAATGGGTAGCTTCAGCAGACCTAAATGTTTCTGCCTGGCAGCTCTGAAGACAGCAGTGGATTTCCCAACACAGCATTCAAGCTCTGATGAGGGACAGACTGCATCCTCAAGGGGCTCCTTGACTCCTGTGTATCCTGACTGGGGGGACACCCCCCAGTAGGGGGCCGACTGCACCTCATACAGGAGAGCTCAGGCTGGCATCTGGCGGGAACCCCTCTGGGAAGAAGCTACCAAGGGAAGGAACAGGCAGCAATCTTTGCTGTTCTGCAGCCTCCGCTGGTGATTCCTAGGCAAGCAGGGTCTGGAGTGGACCTCCAGCAAACTCCAGCAGAACTGCAGCAAAGGGGCCTACTGTTAGAAGGAAAACTAACAAACAGAAAGAAATAGTTTCAACATCAACAAAAAAGATATCCACTCAGAGACCCCATCTAGAGGTCACTGACCTCAAAGACCAAAGGCAGATAAATCCACAAAGATAGGAAGAAACCAGCACAAAATGGCTGAAAACTCCAAAAACCAGAATGCCTCTTCTCCAACTCTTTTTTCATCCAGATGACAACTCCTCACCAGCAAGGGAACAAAACTGAATGAAAAATGAGTTTGATGAAATTACAGAAGAGGCTTCAGAAGGTGAGTTATAACAAACTTCTCTGAGCTAAAGAAGCATGTTCTATAATGCAAGAAAGCTAAGAACCTTGAAAAAAGGTTAGATGAAATGCTGACTAAACAGTTTAGAGAAGAACATAGACGACCTGATGGAGATCAAAATCACAGCATGAGAACTTCATGAAGCATGCACAAGTTTCAATAGCCAAACTGACCAAGCAGAAGAAAGGATGTCAGAGATTGAAGATCAACCCAATGAAATAAAGAAGGCAATATTAGAGAAAAAAAGTGAAAAGAAATGAACAAATCCTCAAAGAAATATGAGATTATGTGAAAAGACATAATCTACGTTTGATATGTGTACCTGAATATGATGGAGAGAATGAATCCAAGCTGGAAAACACTCTTCAGATATTATCCAAGAGAACTTCCCCAACCTAGCAAAGCAGGCCAACATCCAAGTCCAGAAAATACAGGGAACACCACAAAGATATTCCTCAAGAAGAGCAACCCCAAGGCACATAATTGTCAGATTTGCCAGGGTTGAAATGAAGGAAAAAATGCTAAGGGCAGCCAGAGAGAAAGGTTGGGTTACCCACAAAGGGAAGCCGATCAGACTCACAGTGGACCTCTCAGCAGAAACCCTACAAGTTGGAAGAGAGTGGGGGCCAACATCCTTAAAGAAAAGACCTTTCAACCTAGAATTTCATATCCAGCTAAACTAACCTTCATAAGCAAAGGAGAAATAAAATCCTTTATGGAGAAGCAATTGCTGAGAGATTCCATCACCACCAGGCTTGCCTTACAAGAGTTCCTGAAAGAAGCACTAAACGTAGAAAGGAACAAGTAGTACTACCCTCCAAAAATGTATCAAACGGTAAAGACCATTGACACAATGAAGAAAATGAGACAACTAAGGAGCAAAACATCCAGCTAGCATCAAAATGGCAGGATCAAATTCACACATAACAAGATTAACCCTAAATGTAAATGGACTGAATGCCCCAACCAAAAAACAATGACTGGCAAATTGGATAAAAAGCCAAAACCCATCAGTGTGCTGTATTCAGGAAACCAATCTCATATGCAAGGACACACATTGGCTAAAAATAAAGGGAGGGAGGAAAATTTACCAAGCAAATGGAGAGCAAAAAAAGCAAAAGTTGCAATGCTAGTCTCTGATAAAATAGACATTAAACCAACAAAGATCAAAAGAGACAAAGAGCACTACATAATGGTAAAAGGATCAATGCAACAAGAGCTAATGATCCCAAATATATAAGCACCCAATACAGGAGCACCCAGATACATAAAGCAAGTTCTTAATGACCTACAAAGAGATTAGACTCCCATACAATAATAGTGGGAAACTTTATCACTCCACTGTCAACATCAGGCAGATCAATGAGACAGGGAATTAACAAGGATATCCAGGACTTGAACTCAGATCTGGACCAAATGGACCTAATAGACATCTACAGAAATCTCCACCCCAATTCCACGGAATATACATTCTTCTCAACATCACATTGCACCTACTCTAAAATTGACCACACAATAGGAAGCAAATCACTCCTCAGCAAATGCAAAAGAATGGAAATCATAACAGTCTCTCAGGCCACAGGGCAATCAAATTAGAACTCAGGATGAAGAAACGAACTCAGAACTGCACAACTTCATGGAAACTGAACAACTCGCTCCTAAATGTCGACTGGATAAACAATAAAATAAAGGCAGAAATAAAGATGTTCTTTGAAACCAACAAGAACAAAGACACAAAGTACCAGAATCTCTGGGACACTTTTTCTTTTTTTTTGAGACAGAGTTTCGCTCTTGTTACCCAGGCTGGAGTGCAATGGCGTGATCTCGGCTCACCGCAACCTCCGCCTCCTGGGTTCAGGCAATTCTCCTGCCTCAGCCTCCCAAGTAGCTGGGATTACAGGCACGCGCCACCATGCCCAGCTAATTTTTTGTATTTTTAGTAGAGACGGGGTTTCACCATGTTGACCAGGATGGTCTCGATCTCTTGACCTCGTGATCCACCCGCCTTGGCCTCCCAAAGTGCTGGGATTACAGGCTTGAGCCACCGCGCCCAGCCTCTGGGACACTTTTAAAGCAGGGTCTAGATGAAAATTTACAGCAATAAATGCCCACATGAGAAGCAAGGAAAGATCTAAATTTGACAACACATCATCAAAATTGAAAGAGCTTGAGGAGCAAGATAAAAAAAAAACTCAAAAGCTAGCAGAAGACAAAAAATAACTAACATCATGGCAGAACTGAAGGAGATAGACACACAAAAACCCTTCAAAAAATCAATAAATCCAGGAGCTGGTTTTTTTAAAATATCAACAAAATAGACCACTAGCCAGATTAATAAAAAAGAAAAAAAAAAAAGAATCAAATAGATACAATAAAAAACGATAAAGGGGATATCACCACCCATTCCAAAGAAATACAAACTACCATCAGAGATTACTACAAACAACTCTATGCACATAAACCAGTAAACCAGGAAGAAATGGGTCAATTCCTGGACACCTACACCCTCCCAAGACTCAACCAGGAAGAATTTGAAACCTTGAACAGACCAATAACAAGGGCTGATGTTGAGGCAGTGATTAATAGCCTACCAACCAAAAAAAGTCCAGGTCCAGATGGGTTCACAGCCATATTCTACCAGATGTACAAAGAGGAGTTGGTACCATTCCTTCTGAAACTATTCCAAACAATCCAAAAAGAGGGAATCCTTCCCCAATCATTTTATGAGACCAACATCATCCTGATACCAAAACCTGGCAGAGACTCAACAAGAAAAGAAAACTTCAGGTCTACATCCTTAACGAACATAGATGCAAAAATCTTCAATAAAATACTGGCAAACTGATTGCAACAGCACATCAAAAAGCTTATCCATCACAATCAAGTAGGCTTCATCCTGGGGATGCAAGGCTGGTTCAACATACACGAGTCTAAAATGTACTCAACCATATAAACAGAACCAAAGCCAAAAACATGATTATCTCGATAGATGCAGAGAAGGCTTTCCATAAAATTCAACAGCCCTTTATGCTAAAAACTCTCAATAAACTAGGTATAGAAAAAACGTATCTCAAAATAATGAAAGCTATTTACGACAAACCCACAGCGAATATCAATACTGAATAAGCAAAAACTGAAAGCATTCCCTTTGAAATTTGGCACAAGACAAGGATGCCCTCTCTAACCATTCCTATTCAATATCGTTTTGGAAGTTCTAGCCAGAGCAATTAGGCAAGAAAAAAAAAATAACACTATTCAATTAGGAAAGGAGGAAGTCCAATTCTCTCTATTTGTAGAAAACATGATTGTATATTTAGCAGACCCTACCATCTCAGCCCAAAATCTCCTTAAACTGATAAGCAACTTCAGCAAAGTCTCAGAATACAAAATCAATGTGCAGAAATCACAAGCATTCCTATAAACCAATAACAGACTAACAGAGAGCCAAATCATGAGTGAACTCCCATTCACAATTGCTACAAAGAGAACAAAATACCTAGGAATACAAGTAACAAAGGATGTAAAGGACATCTTCAAGGAGAACTACAAAAGGAAATAAGAGAGGACACAAACAGATGGAAAAACATTCCATGCTGATGGTTAGGAAGAATCAATATCATGAAAATGGCCATACTCACCAAAGTAATTTATAGGTTCAATGCTATTCCCATCAAGCTACCAATGACCTTCTTCATAGAACTGAAAAAACCACCTTAAAGTTTGTAAGGAACCAAAAGAGAGCCCCCATAGCCAAGATAATCCTAATCAAAAAGAACAAAGCCAGAGGCATTACGCTATCTAACCTCAAACTATACTACAAGGCTACAGTAATCAAAACAGCATGGTACTGGTATCCAAACAGAGATATAGACCAATGGAACAGAAAAGAGGCCTTGGAGGCAATGCCACACAACTACAACCATCTGATCTTTGACAAACATGACCAAAACATCACACACTGGGGATTCCCTGTTTAATAAATGGGGTTGGGAAAACTGGCTAGCCATGTGCAGAAAGCAGAAACTGGACCCCTTCCTGACACCTTACACTAAAATTAACTCCAGATGAATTAAAGACTTAAACATAAGACCTAACACCATAAAAACCCTAGAAGAAAACCTAGGCAAAAGCATTCAGGACATAGGCATAGGCAAGGACTTCATGACTAAAACACCAAAAGCATTGGCAACAAAAGCCAAAATAGACAAATGGGATCTAATTAAACTCTAGAGCTTCTGCACAGCAAAAGAAACAATCATTAAAGTGAACTGGCAACCAACAGAATGGGGAAAATTTTTTGCAATCTACCCATCTGACAAAGGGCTAATATCTGCTGATCATTTAAAAAATCTGGAGACAACAAATGCTGGAGAGGATGTGGAGAAATAGGAAAACTTTTACACTGTTGGTGGGAGTGTAAATTAGTTCAACCATTGTGGAAGACAGTATGGCAATTGCTCAAGGACCTAGAAATAGAAATTCCATTTTAACCAGCAATCTCATTACTGCGTATATACCCAAAGGATTAGAAATCGTTCTATTATAAATACACATGCACACATATGTTCATTGCAACACTGTTTACGATAGCAAAGACCTGGAACCAACCCAAATGCCCATCAATGATAGACTGGACAAGAAAAACATGGCACATTTACACCATGGAATCCTATGCAACCATAAAAAAGTATGAGTTCATGTCCTTTGTAGGGACATGGATGAATCTCAAAACCATCATTCTTAGCAAACTGACAAAAGAACAGAAAATCAAACACTGCATGTTCTCACTCATAGGTGGGTGTTGAACAATGGGAACAAATGGACACAGGGAGGGAGAATCACACACTAGGGTCCCTGAGAAGGGCAGGGGAGGGACAGTATCAGGGGTTGGGAGGTTGGGGAGGGATACATGGGGAGAAATGCCAGATATAGGTGATGGAGGGGATGAAGGCAGCAAACCACATTGCCATGTATGTACCTATACAACAATCCTGCATGATCGGCGCACGTACCCCAAAACCTAAAGTACAATTAAAAAAAAAAAAAAGGAATGAAAGTAGGACCAGGAGACCATCACTTTATACTGCAAGCAGTGAAGGCCCCGAGCTCCGGTTTCCACAATATTTATTGAACACAATGGTAACTTTTATCTATAATGCAGGTGGTAAAATGGATCGGTGAAGAAAGGCTGTACATAAAACATAAAATTTATAGCAGTGGTGGTTTATGTGAGTTTCTGAAGAACTAAAAGTGTACGCTTATCAATAGATAGTGCAGTGGGAGTGGGCTTAGCAAGGAACCTACACGCCTGGTTACATTCCATGCTTCAAGGGAGTGTTATATCCTTGGGCACTATGATTAGAGTATTAGAGCTTGGGCCATTCTGTTCCTGGGAACATGCCTTCCTCCCCAGAGGTCTCTGCAGCCTTCCGCAGTTTATTATTCCTGATTTGATTTCTTTCTTTTTTTTTTTTTTTTTTTTGAGACGGAGTTTCGCTCTTGTTACCCAGGCTGGAGTGCAATGGCGCGATCTCGGCTCACCACAACCTCCACCTCCTGGGTTCAGGCAATTCTCCTGCCTCAGCCTCCTGAGTAGCTGGGATCACAGGCACACGCCACCATGCCCAGCTAATTTTTTTGTATTTTTAGTAGAGACAAAGTTTCACCATGTTGGCCAGGATGGTCTTGATCTCTTGACCTCGTTGATCCACCCGCCTTGGCCTCCCAAAGTGCTGGGATTACAGGCTTGAGCCACTGCACCCGGCCCTGATTTCTTTTATACATTACTTATAACTAGTTTGTGGAGGCACACTGTAAACCCTACCTCCATTGCTACATCCCCCAACAGATACATAGTATCTCCCTTGACACATTCAGTGCAAGCCTACAGGTAAGTCGCTTCCTGTTATGTTACCTTCGGAGGAATTAAGTGGCAGAACATGTCTTCTTTTATTTTCCTTTTCAGAACAAGACCAATTGCATGAGTTGGAACACAGAGCTGGCAGCATTTGAGTCATAAACAACGATTAGTATTGCTGTCACCAGAGCCAGAGGGCATGACACCCAGGGGCCCAGCAATCTCACCCAAGTCAACTCCACCAACCCTTCTGGCCACCCACTGTGTGTACAGTACGCTGCTAGGGACCAGGGTCATGACAACAAATAATACCACACTGTGCCCTTGAGAAGCTCACCTCTGCTAAGGGAAACAGGCACAGAAACCCACAATGATGGTAGAGAGGAAAAAGGACCATAGGACTGCGAGAGGGGTATAGGAGGAACCCAGAGGAGAAAATGGTTACATTTGTGTAAGAGAGTTGGTAAGGAAAGACATTAATAGAAAGGGCCTATCTGGTCGGCCTTGAAAGATGTGTAGGACCCATCTAGGGGGCATAGGTACACACCAGGCAGAGGTTACTGCATGGGTAAAGATCTGTAGGTGTGGCTTTTGGGATGGATTTCAAGTATTCTGGAATGAGGACAGCCATGGAGACAAGGGTAAGTGAAAGATTTAATAGATTTCATGCCAATAGCTCCACTTGAGTTTCTGATAAAAACTAGAACCCTTGGACTCTCTGATAACACTGATTAAGTTGTTTATGATTCCTCATAGAATATGAACTCACAGGAGGTCAGCAAAGGGGTGTGTCTGATCCTTTGCTACTGGCTACAGCTGCAACCCCGCCTCCTTGGCTGAATGACTGCTGTGCAGGGCAGGGAAGGGCCAGGCACACAGACCAGCAAACAGCAGCACACAACTGAAAGGAAAACTCAGAGGATACAGTCAAGGAAGAAAAGTGGCGATGGACCTCATCCCAAATTTGGCAGTGGAAACCTGGCTTCTCCTGGCTCTCAGCCTGGTGCTCCTCTATCTGTGAGTAACTATCCAGGCTCCTCTCCTCTGTTTCCTTGGAATTGGGGTGCTAATCAGGCCCCTTTTCCCTTATCTGCTTTGAAGATCAAAAGAGATGTTCAACGAGAAGTAGCTTAAGTGTTGGAAGCTACAAACACAGAGGTTATTGAGCATACGCAGCTCTATGAAAAAATAAGCATTTCTTCCATCCACCGTCTAATTTCGGTGACTAGGAGAGTTTCGGGACAGCATTTGGTGGTGGGAATGATCTGATTAGCTTAGATTCGACCTAGACTAATCAATGAAAACACGGCAGAGGCTGATTACAAACTACTGAACATGACAGCCAGTGTGATCCTCATCCCCTTCCCAGGCTCTGGGGATTCTGGGAACAGGAGGGAGTGGCTTGGGTTTTTGTCTCATTATCTTGATTTTCTGGGTTCTGTGTCGGCTAAGAGAAATGTGTAGAACTATGGCCCCTTGGACCAGGTGGTTCCTGCTCCCCTGCCTTCCACTCCAGGATGTCATTTACGTAAGGCACCAGGGAACACCAAGACTTCATGGAAAGCTGACCCTTGGTTCTTCCCTCTTTCCTCTGCCACACCCTAGAAAAATCCGCTCTCTTCTATGACTCAATCCTCCACCCTGTCACACACAGAACTATTTATCTTACACTGATTAATCTCTAGAGAAAAGGAGACTTGGAGAAAGTTTTGAAGCTTTACTCTTTAATCTTTTTCCTCCAGTCTCTCGGAGGCTAGGATTAATATAGAGCTTTGTTTCTCACCTAATGGGAATATCTGCCAGCAGCCCAAAAAGGCAGGAGCCGTGAAAGCCAATTGGGATTTTACACATTTTTTCCCCTTTACATTACAGTACAGGAGGATGAATCCTCTCAGTGGTGGAATTCCTGGCATCCTAGAGCAGGTAGAGAGAAGAGTTACTTTCCACTGTGGGCAGTGGAGGCTCGACCCACCACATCTGACTTCTACCTCAAGTTGACTTTTATTAACAGTAGAGAGAACCACAATGACATACAAATAGAAATATAAACCTCATTTTCTCTCTTTCACAGAAAGCTAAGGAATTCAATGGGTTGTGGCAACATGGTTTCCATTTTCTAACATTTTAAACTGAATTGATATGGTTTAAATTCATTCACTTTTTAAACCAGAAATTTTGGGGGATAGACTATTTCCAGCATGTTCCTTCTGGATGATAGAGGGCTCTTAGTTTGGCAGTTGTGAAAATAAATGTGGGTAAAATAATCTCACTTTTCCAGACTAATGTCAGGAATATGAGTCTAATGCACAAATGTATATCTCTAAGACAAGACTGCATATGTCTTTTTAAATACACCTGCCTGACAGCTTCATACCTCCTTTTCTAATATACCTGCTTAGCAGGTTATCTTACACTCCCAGGGAAGGGAAATAAGCAAGACTGTGAGCCAGTGATACTAGCAAAAGCATCCAGATAGGATCAGTATGAAGTGATAAAATATTCCTCAGCTCTCAGGGTACAACTCCAAAGAGATAGTCATGGGTCCAGGCTCCACAGTGGAGGTCACTCGAAGGGCAAACAGGTTGGCATCTCATCTGCTTCAAGCCTGGACACGGGCACCATCTGTGTCACTCTGTGTGTGGTCTGCCATGTTGTGGGGCTGTCACTACAGATTTAAGCAGCCAGGCATAGAATACCTTACTTAGCCTTAGACAATGCTGGTGCAGCCCAGGAGTCAGGAACTGTAGTGTAGACCATGTCCTCCTTAGGCCAACGCGATGATGTGCAATAGATGACTGGCTTTTCTGTTAGCCTCTTCCTTGGAACCAAAAGCAGCATTACTCTACCAAACAGAGGACAGCTGGAAAGAAACTAAAGACTTCGCCCAGCTCACCCTCTGCCTTGACATGGTACCATGTGAGTCTAGACACTCGCCAAGATCTTTCCTCAGGGGCCAGTGCTGCTGACACATTAACTCAATAGCTTGTCCTCACCTGAGAGGTCAGGTAACTTGTTTAAAGTTCAGGGCAGAGATTAGTGTCATTGATTTGCCATGGCTGTGCAAACAAAGGAGGGAACGGAAGTGGGAAAACCCAAGGCCACGCTGGTGTTGGCAGGTGGTGCACGCACTTCCACTAACTATTCTGGGGCAGGGACCATATGTGTGACTGGGCCTGCTCAAACTGTCCCTGCTGGGTCCTCGAAACTCCGCCCTTCATGTAATTTCTCAATTTTATTTTACCACATACTATGAGTCACTGGATTTTTACAAAATGTTTGGAACCTATACGGCCTTAAAGGCTGAACTCTAAAGAAGAGTAAACAAGGTCTTAATACAACTCTCTGGGACATTTAATCTCTACTTATATGCCATTCTGCATCTTTTGCTATCAACAGGAAGGTACCTGGACTTTAGAAGGCCCCTCTCTGTCTTTTAGCTGAAAGCACATATGAGGCATGTGGATTCTTTTATGCACATCATCTTTGTCAGCCACATTTTTGGAGTTTGCCTCTCTGGAGCCAACCTTATGGCACTAGCAGCTCACAGCTGAATCAGAGTCTGGCAACCTCTTCCTTCAGCCTCCCTTCTTCCTCCAGTTTTCCATTCCTCAGTCACAGCAGAGGGGGAAGTTCTACAAAGATCCAGAACCCTCAGTTGGAAGAGTTTGTACATGATTCATGAAAGATGAGTTGCAGGCAGGCCTGCCAAAGCGAATGCCAGGCTTTATGGGTTTTTCCTCAGAGATAGTTCCTGTACAGAGGCAATGAACTGACTGCTGTCTGACTGACCACCTTGAAAAAAATGAGTGTGCCTGGTACTGTGCTTCTCAGGTGAGTATTGCCTGAGAAGTATTAGTTGTTGGTTCTTCTGCACACCATCATTCAAGGACATATGGGTCAACCATCCTCCTCATTAACTCAAATCAACCAGATCATCTGACCACAGACACTGAGGTGTAGCTGAAAAGTGCCCACATTTCCATAAGGCCAACAGAAGCCATGAACACACTTGTCAATCTGTAGAAACAAGGACTCCATGACTCCTCCAAGGCCTCTCTGTGAATCAAGCTTTAAGAAGGGCCAGATCCTAAAATAGGGTCAGAGCTTAGAGGAAAGAAAAAGTGCAAAAGTCTCTGAGCAAATTGTAAGGGCAGTGTCACCACAGGCTTTTGGTGGTCCTCTGTCATAGAGTGGATGCAGTGATGCAAAATCTCACCATCGGTGCAGAAGACAAAAAAAGTCACCCTTTCTACCTAGGATGAGGATTCCCAAATCAGGGAAGAGTCCACTTACTAAATAGACATAAGGGAATGAAGTGCCCTGGAAGAATTCCCACCTTAATCTCTCAGGAGCACTCATGTTTGAGGACATTTATCAAGTATTCACTCCAGGACTGGGACCATGAAGACTTCAGCTGCTTTCAGTGAATCATTGAGATTTTGGGGTGTCTCAGAGTCAGGGAAGGACCCGATGAGTGAATGCGATTACTGACATTGGAGTTGCTGTTATTATTTATCATGTACATATTACCTCCCTCTCTTGACCATCCAAGTTCCTCAGTCAGTAACTGATCAGCCTCCCAATCTATAAAGTCACAATCCCTATGACCTGATTGCTGTTTCACTTCGTAGATATGGGACCCGTTCACATGGAATTTTTAAGAAACTGGGAATTCCAGGACCTGCACCCCTGCCTTTTGTTGGAAATGTTTTGTCCTATCGTCAAGTGAGTTGTTTGAGCTTCCTCTTTTGCTTCTTATGGTTGCGAACATCAGCTTAGCTCCATCAGTGAAAATGCCCGTCCTTGCGATGGAGTTCTGAGGCTTCACATTTTCAGAAATAGTGGGACTGGGCATGGTGGGTCATGCCTGTAATCTCAGCACTTTGTGAGGCCAAGGCTGGCAAATCACTTGAGTCCAGGAAGTTGAGGCCAGCCTGCGCAACACAGTGAGATCTCTGTCTCAAGAAAGAAAAAATTACCTGGGCATGATATAGTAGCCCAGGCCTGTAGTCCCAGCTACTCTGAATGCTGAGGTGGGAGGACTGCGTGAACTCAGGATGTCAAGGCTGCATTGATCATGCCACTGCACTCCAGGTTGGTCAACAGAGCAAAACTGTTTCAAAGAAAAAAAAGAAAAGAAACAACAAAAAGAAATGGTGTGTAGACTCCACCCAGAGCATGGCCAGGTTTACCCTGGGGCTTTCTTGCTAATTCTCATGAGCCTCGGGTTTGCCTCAGTTGAACAGCCCTGATCTCAAGTCGATCAGCACTTGATGTTCAAGACTTGATGTGCAAGACTCTGTGGCACCATAAATAGGATTTTCCTTTTGCTCCCTGCAGGTTCCCAGAAAGGTACAGTCATACTTACTTCATGTTAAGAGAAAAGCAGAAAGGGAGGCCCTGGTAGTGGCTCATTATCTGTGTGCACCAGATTCAAACTTGTCTCTTTGTAGCAAGAGCTCATGAGTGGCCTTCCCCCTCTCTTCATCCTGCAGTTTGGAAACTTTAGTTTATTGGGCAACTTAAGTATTCACCATCAGGAAATTTGCACCTACTTGAATTTTCTCAAGTACTGCTAAATTCTCTAGGTGTATTTCTATGGCTCTACTCCAGCTGTTATAACATCTTTTGCATATCTGAGAGAAAGAACAAGAGGGTTCTGCTTCACTTCTTTTCCTTCAAAGGCTGCACCCTATGGGTGAGTCTGAGCAGGGAGTGGATGTAACTGAGATGAGATGGTGGTTGTCTTATCAACCTCAGATACTTAAGCACAAAATAAATTCGATGTGTGTTTTTTTAACACAAAGATATGACCACTTATGAAAAATCATTAGAAAGGCAATAATTTGTCAAAATTATTAAATGTTTAATTTTACTGAACAGAATGTCATATGTGCCACATGGACTGTGAACTGTGGCCGAGCCTTTGTGGCTACCCTGGTCTGAGGCTCTGCCCAGGGTCTGGCCCATGGAGGAAAAGTCACGGCTCATGTCCAGATGGCCAGCAACAGCAAGCTGCTCTCTGGCCCAGATTTCCTATCCTGTGTACCTGAAGCTTGTTTCTAAGATTCTAACTCTCAGAGCTGAGGCCTCTGTTTTCTGATTAATGTTAGAGAATTCTACAAAATTTTCCCACAATAAAAGCAATAATCCCTTCTTCATCTTTCTCAGATCAACACTTGTAGTAGAATGACATTTCTGGGACCTATTTTACATAGTTAAAACATCACAGCTAAATCTCAGCCAGAGGGAAGTTTGCTTTTAAGTCTCAGAAGTGAAAACTCAAGAGCACACATTGTAATTTTCTGGGTGTGATGTCAAAAGGCAGCATTTCTCCAGTTTTTCTGTGTTAAGTTAGAAAACTGGAAAGGAAGTCCAGGCCTGCCTTACAAGAGCTCCTGAAGGAAGCACTAAACATGAAAAGTAACAACCAGTACCAGCTACTAGAAAAACATACCAAATTGTAAAAACCATTGACACTATGAAGAAACTGCATCAATTAACGGCAAAAAAAAACAACCAGCTAGCATTAAAACTGCAGGATCAAATTAACACATAACAATATTAACCTTAAATTACTGAGGCATGGCCGGGCACGGTGGCTCAAGCCTGTAATCCCAGCACTTTGGGAGGCCGAGGCGGGTGGATCACAAGGTCAGGAGACCGAGACCATCCTGGTCAATATGGTGAAACCCCGTCCCTACTAAAAATACAAAAAAATCAGCTGGGCATGGTGGCGCATGCCTGTAATCCCAGCTACTCAGGAGGCTGAGGCTGGAGAATTGCCTGAACCCAGGAGGCAGAGGTTGCGGTGAGCTGAGATCGCGCCATTGCACTCCAGTCTGGGTAACAAGAGCAAAACTCTGTCTCGGGAAAAAAAAAAAAAATTACTGAGGCATTTCTAACTATACCTCTATAACCAAAACCACAAGGAAGTTCACACAGCAGCTGGGCAGAGCACATGGCAGCTCAGCAACGTCTCTGCTGGCAGAGTATGACTAGGCTACCTCTTTGCTAGGCAGGGCATCTCTGAAAAAAGGCAGCTGCACATCAGGAACTTATAAATAAAGCCCCACCTTCCGAGGACAGAGCATCTGGGGGAAAAAAGGTGATTATGAGTTCCACTGCCACAGACTTAAACATACCTGCCCAGCAGCTCTGAATGGAGTAACAGCTCAGCACTTGAGCTCCTCTAAGGGACAGACTGTCTCCTCAAGCAGCTCCCCAACCCCCGTATATCCAAAGAGACACCTCATAAAGGAGAGCTAAGGCTGACATCTGATGGGTATCCTTCTGGGACAACTATAACAGAAGAAGAAACTGACAGCAACTGCTACTGTTCTGCAGCCCCCACAGGAGATCCCCAGTCAAGCAGGGTCTGGAGTGAACCGCCAGCAGTCCTATAGCAGAAGGGCCTGTTAGAAGGAAAACTAAAAAACAGAAAGAAATAACTTCATCATCAAAAAAAGGATGTCCAATCACAGACCCCATCTAAAAGTCACCAACTACAAAAATGACAGGTAGATAAGTCCACAAAGATGGGAAGAAACCAGCACAAAAAGGATGAAAACACCCAAAACCAGAACGCCTCTCCTCCTCCAAGGGATCACAACTCCTCACCAGCAAGGGATCAAGACTGGACGGAGAATTAGTCTGATGATGAATTGACAGAAACAGCCTTCAGAAAGTGGGTAAGAACAAACTTCACAGTGCTAAAATAACATGTTCTAATCCAATGCAAAGAAACTAAGAAAAAGGGTTTGACGAAATGCTAACTAGAATAAACAGCTTAGAGAAGAATATAAATGAACTGATAAAGCTGAAAAACACAGCACGAGAACTTTGCGAAGCATACACAAATTTCAATAGCCAAATCAACCAAGCAGAAGAAAGGATATCAGAGACTGAAGATCAACTCAATGAAATAAAACAAGAGGCAATATTAGAAAAAAACAAGAGTAAAAAAGAAATGAACAAACCCTCCAAGAAATATCAGTTTATGTGAAAAGACCTAATCTATGTTGGATAGGTGTAGCTGAATGTGATGGAGAGAATAAATCCAAGCTGGAAAACACGCTTCAGGATATTATCCAGGAGAACTTCCCAACTTAGCTAGGCAGGCCAATATTCAAGTCCAGGAAATACAGGGAATGCCACAAAGATATTCCTCAAGAAGAGCAACTCCAAGGAACATAATCATCAGATTCACCAGGGTTGAAATAAAGGAGAAAATGCTAAGGGCAGCCGGAGAGAAAGGTCAGGTTACCCACAAAGGGAAGCCCATCATACTCACAGGGGATTTCTGGGAAGAAACCCTACAAGCCAGAAGAGAGTAGGAGGCAATATTCAAAATCCTTAAAGAAAAGAACTTTCAACCTAGAATTTCATATCCAGCCAAACTAAGCTTCATAAGTGAATGAGAAATAAAACCTTTTACAAACAAGCAATTGCTCAGGGATTTCATCACCACCAGGCTTGCCTTACAAGACTCCTGAAGGAAGCACTAAACATAGAAAGGAACAACCAGTACCACCCACTCCAAAAACATACCAATTGGTAAAGACCATCAACACAATGAAGAAACTGTGTCAACTAATGGCCATAACAACCAGCTAGCATCAAAATGGCAGGATCAAATTCACATATAATGATATTAACCTTAAATGTAAATGGACTAACTGCTCCAATCAAAACAAAATGACTGGCATATTTGATAAAAAGTCAAAACTCATCAGTGTGCTGTACCCAGCAAAACTATCTGACATGCAAGGATACACATAGGCTCAAAATAAAGGGATGTAGGAACATTTACCAAGGAAATGAAGAGCAAACAAAAGCAGGAGTTGCAATCCTAGTCTCTGATAAAATAGACTTTAAACAAACAGATCAAAAGAGACAAAGAAAGGAATTACATAATGGTAAAAGGATCAATGCAACAAGAAGAGCTAATGATCCTAAATATATACACACCCAATACAGGAGCACCCGGATACATAAAGCAAGTTCTTAATGACTACAAAGAGACTTAGACTCCCGCACAATAATAGTGGGAGACTTTAACACTCCACTGTCAATATTAGACAGATCAACAAGACAGAAAATTAACAAGGATATCCAAGACTTGAACTCAGATATGGACCAAGAAAACCTAATAGACATTTACGAATTGCTTCATCCCAAATCCACAGAATATACATTCTTCTCAGCACCACATCACATCTACTCTAAAACTGACCACAAAATTGGAAGTAAATCACTCCTCAGCAAATACAAAAGAACAGAAATCATAACAAACAGTCTCTCAGACCACAGGGCAATCAAATTAGAACTCAGGATTAAGAAACTAACTCAGGGTCAGGCGCGGTGGCTCAAGCCTGTAATCCCAGCACTTTGGGAGGCTGAGGTGGGTGGATCATGAGGTCAACAGATCAAGACCATCCTGGTCAACATGGTGAAACCCCGTCTCTACTAGAAATTACAAAAAATTAGCTGGGCACAGTGGCGCGTGCCTGTAATCCCAGCTACTCAGGAGGCTGAGGCAGGAGAATTGCCTGAACCCAGGGGGCAGAGGTTGCAGTGAGCCAAGATTGCGCCATTGCACTCCAGCCTGGGTAACAAGAGCGAAACTTCGTCTCAAAAAAATAAAATAAAATAAAAAAAGAAACTAACTCAGAACTGTACAACTTTGAACAACTGGCTCTTGAATGTCGACTACATAAAGAATGAAATGAAGGCAGAAATAAAGATGTTCTTCGAAACCAGTGAGAACAAGGACAAAATGTACCAGAATGTCTGGGACACATTTAAAGCATTGTCTAGAGGAAAATTTTAACAATAAATGTCCATATGAGAAGCAAGGAAATATCTAAAATCGACACCCTATCATCAAAATTGAAAGAGCTAAAGGAGCAAGATCAAAAGCTAGCAGAAGACGAGAAATAACTAAGATCATGGCAGAACTGAAGAAGATAAGAGACAGCAAAAAACCCTTCAAAAAGTAAATCCAGGAGCTGGTTTTTTAAAACAATCAACAAAATAGATCGAACTCTAGCCAGACTAATTTAAAAAAAAAGAGAGAGAGAGAAAAGAATCAAATAAATACAATAAAAAAAA